CCTGATCCTTCAAGTGCAATAAAACACTACTATAAAAAAGTTGGTAGGGGGAAATTGAATTTAGCTAGTTAAACAGCAGCAAAACACCATTATGACTTTCTGTAGCCCTCATATTTAACAGTGTTTCTTTATTGTTCTGAAATAGACATGTCTTTCCATTCTCAGAGTATATAGCGTTATCCTTTAGTCCTTGCACAAATTCATTGCTACATCCCATTTTCTGAGGGGTTTTGAAACCTACAGTGAACACGACACTGATGTCATTTGTATATGCATGAAAACAATGTATTTTTTTATTGGCTCGCCACACACTACAGAGTACCCTAATGAGGGCTGCCCAACCCATGACAGATCACCCAGCCTGAAGGGTGTTACAGCTGTATGTATTACTCCATTATGGATCTGCAGTCTGCTGACAGAGCTCTGAAAGGACAGGCAGAGGACAGGCAGAGGGCAAGGACAGGCAGAGGAGGGAGCTGGCCAAGGCATTCAGGTTATGGGGTGATCCTGGAGCACATTTGAAGGCAGCATCCACAATGCTATGCAGCTTGCCATTGCTATAAAATGAAGGTGATCCCTCTCAGCACAATATCCAATGGGAGGTTGATGGCATAAAAGGTGAATCCCACTATGGCCCAGCTTTCTTTGGTGATCACACTGCCACGCTCAGGTGAATCCAGCCTTTCATCTAGGAGGGTGAATCTGGTCTGTTCTACACACATTAACAAAAAACATCCTGTAACTTTGGTGTCTCTGTGGAAGGTATGTTTGTCCACTGATTGCATTGGCTACTTACTTGCAAAGACACGCTGTTACAATGGACTGGACAGTACATGGGGCAGGAGCAGAAGGAAATTACTGAGACAAAGGGGAAAAATAAAGAAGAAAAGTAGGACAGAAATCAAGAAAGCCTGTGAGTCAGCCTTCAAATTTGTTATGATCAGCAAGAATTCACTCTCACTGATCAGAAGCAGAGATTAGCACTCTTAGTCCCTGTCTTCCAGGACTTTGGCTTTCTACAGTGTTGCACCATTTTCTTCGCCAGCTAACTATTTTAAATGTTCCTACAGATTGATCAACCAGGGCTTGGCTTGCCTTCTCGTGACTACTATGAATGCACTGGAGCATACAAGGAGGTAAGCTACGGCTGGAAAAATGTAATTTAAGCTCCGACCTCAGCCCTCAAGGTTCACACATATATCTAGGGACCTTCCAAAATCGAGGTGGAAGTGCGCTGCATCCTAGCTCCATTAATCTTGCAGTTTCCCCCATGCAATCCCACCCCACCGTCAGTGGAGGAGCCCCGCCATTAACTGCTCAGCACTCGCTTCTGATTGGCGGAGATTTTGCCAGGATTTTCATAGATTTCATAGACATCAGGGCTGGAAGGGACCTCGGAAGATCATCGAGTCCAGCCCCCCACCCAAAGGGCAGGAAGTCAGCTGGGGTCATAGGATCCTAGCAAGATAAGCATCCAGTTTCATCTTGAAGGTGGTTCAATGAAGGCGCTTGAACCACCTCCGGTGGCAGGCTGTTCCAGACCTTGGGGGCTCGGACAGTAAAGAAGTTCTTCCTTATGTCCAGCCTGAAACGATCTTGAAGTAGTTTGTGACCATTCGACCTCGTCATCCCTTGGGGCGCTCTGGTGAACAAACGTTCCCCCAGATGCTGGTGGTCACCCCTGATAAACTTGTAGGTGGCCATCAGATCACCCCTGAGCCTGCGCTTTTTCAGGCTAAAGAGCCCCACGGCTCTCAGCCTGTCATCGTAGGGTCTGCTTCCCTGACCTCTGATCATGCGCGTGGCTCTTCTCTGGACTCTCTCAAGCTTCTCCACATCCTTTTTGAATTGTGGAGCCCAAAACTGGACACAGTACTCCAGCTGCGGCCTCACTAAGGCCGAGTACAGGGGGAGAATGACGTCCCGGGATTTGCTTGAGAGCAAAAATAAAAATGTTTGTGCACTCCCTGCTCCTCCATTGCAGAAATCTATTTTAATCCGTTTTTAAAAACACACTTATTCTCTAAAGCAATTGGCTCCAAAATGTGGTACCTCTACTTTTGCTATTTACACACTCTCCTTTTTCATCCCTAAAGCTATTTCTTTCGGATTTGGGGGTTCCCAGTTCCTGTCATCTTGCTTTAGTTCAATCTATTCTAGATGGAGCTTTACCTGACGATTGCCTAAAAACGAGGCGCTGAACGCCGCTGCTTAGCGGCGTTCCTGTCAGAGAGTGCATTTTGCACGGGTTCTGTGATTTGGATTGACATACCACTTGTTTCTGTATAAATATGAACTCGCCATTTTCTCAACCTCCTGAAACCCTCAATATTTTGGATCTTGGAAATGGCCCGTCTCCTTATATGGTACTGGAGCAGCCGCTAAAGTTAGAGAGAGAGTTTTGCTAAAAGCTCTTTCCATTCTGGTGTTAGAAAGGAAAAAGGAGAATTGGCAATTGGGAAATTCAAGTGCAACTGCTTTCTCCGCTTGGTTCAGTAGAGGCAGAGTTGCTTGCTGGCATTCAGAACTCACTCTCTATTCTCCAAATAGTTTTGAAAAATAACAGGGTTCAGAAGGATGCCAAGGTGGGCTAAGTGGAGAAACGTGAATGTAGTGGGTAGGGTGCGTGAGAAAGTCTGTTACTAGAAATGGATTTACCCTGATCTTGCAAGCTGCTCTGCAAGGGGGGATTCCTGCCCTGCAGGAAATCAATGGGGTCTGTGGGATGGAAGGGACAACCCAGCTTTTGGCATATTTTCCATACTCTATGGACCCCTGGATTTGCAGTTTAGTACATCTACACAAACAGCCATCTATCTTATTCTCATCCTTCTAGAACCACATGAAGGCTGTCACTCCAGCTCATATGTTATTCAGAGTTAATTCAGTGTCTGCAATTTTAGTCACTATATATGGATAACTATAGGAAGCTGAGTGGGGCTCACTCCGCTACATACTGTACAAATGTTGTCAGACACAGTCTATTATGTCCAAGTATTGTGTCCACATTTTGCAATAGTTTTAAAAAAAGCAGGCAGTAGTTTCCTATTCTTTTGGGCTCACAGCATGTTGTCTGCTGCAAATCTCTATTCACGTTCTTACAGGATAACACAGTGGTGTCACATTCATCATTAAATGAATTAACCGTTAACCCTATATTTACACTCCTGCTATAAACAGAAGCTTAATTTGCTGCACTGACAGTCGGTTGCGTGCCATTTGTATCTTTTCTGTGCTATTTGGTATTTATATAGCACTCAAAAGTCACTAAATGCTTTACATATTAAAAAATACAAGTCCCCATCTGGAAGGGTTTTCCACCTTATAGCTCAATTCTGTATATTCGTGTACTTCTCATAGGCGTTCTGGAAACAGAGGTCTTGCTGAATTAGTTCTTAGGCAGCATTACATATATAGATAATTCCTAATTATGCTATATAACACCAACACCAAGCCCCTCTTTTCAACCATCACAGAATGAAAAGGAGCATTCCTACTTCGGCAGATGACAAAACAAAGCAGAGCAAAACAAATACACATTTTCCAGGGCAGATTTCACAATTGCAGTATTCCAGCTGAGCAACAGCTCAGGTAGAGGTCATCCACGCACGAGAGGAAGCTCTGCGACCGCTCAGATTTTTCTGAGCGATCCTCCCATGAGATGTCTGGGTAATTGAAGTCACCCATGACAACCATGGTCCTGGAGCAAGCTGCCTCAGCCAGTTCCTGGGCAAACTCCTGGTCAAGCTCAGGACTTTGGGTGGGAGGTCTGTAATAGACTCCCACCATTGTGTCCCCTGTGCCGTGTTCCCCACGGATTTTAACCCAGAGGGTCTCCAGCCGTCCACCCTGGTTGCCAATATCAGCTTGCAGGGACGTGTAGCTTTCCTTAACATAGAGAGCTACCCCCCCGCCCCTTTTCTCTACACGATCCCTCCTGTACAGGGTACAGCCATCTATCCCCGTGGTCCAGTCATGGGTGGAGTCCCACCAGGTCTCCGTTATCCCTATGACATGATTTTAAATGTGGGGTGATTTTAGCCTCCTGCCACTGACTGACCAACAAACGATCCCACTGTTTGTTGCTGACCAGCCAGGAGGCAAAAACCATACCATATTTAAAACCATGTTTTTCGCTTTGCTGCTGATCAGGAGCAAATGGCAAGGCCCCTCAGTGGTGGAAAGGGAGGGCAGGGAGCTGCAACGTTAAAGGAGTTGCTGCACAGTGCACTTTTGCTGCAAGTTTGATAGATCCCTACATACATCTGATGATGAAGATGTGCACAGACAATACTTAAGAGAGAACAGTCCCTGCCACAAAGAGCTTCTGACCTAAACTCCAGAAACAAACATAACTTGCAGGATGCTCAGTGTAAGGACTTCAGACCAATTTAATTTTAAAACTCACTACTATCATGAAAGAGAAGAGAGAGTAAGACTACTTGGCAGAGAGAACAGAGTTGTTTTTCTAAGGAGAGAGAAGCATAAAGAAAAGAATTAAATCAAGAGCAAATGTAGAAAATGAAAGGAGTATTGCAGAGCCAGATTAGCAAGTAAGAGAGCAAGTAGAAATAAGTTGAGGGTGGGAAAAAGGGCTGTGGAGATGAAAAGCAGGAGTGCAGTGAAGGTTATTAACTTGCTTCCATTTTTCTGCATATATTCAGAGGCAGCAGTTGGGAATCCAAGCTCCAGTTCCTGATATGTACTTAGGAAGTCACTGAGACAATGATCTCTCTGCTGGAGGGAAAGATGTATGGCCAGTATTGCTGCATGATTGCCCAAAATACCTAATATAGATATCATAGAAGAGCTATAGCAGGGTGGATCGTCATAGAGAGTATATATGTCAGCTCCTGTGGAGAAAGAGCTGCTGCTTGACATGATGCTTTTGGATCCCTTTGAAGAAATTTCATAGATTTCATAGGCATTAGGGCTGGAAGGGACCTCGCAAGATAATCGGGTCCAGCCCCTCACCCAAGGGGCAGGAAGTCAGCTGGGGTCAAATGATCCCAGCAAGATAAGCATCCAAATGTGCCTTAGAGGTGTCTAGAGTAGCTGTGTCTGTTCCAGACTTTGGGAACTCGGATGGTAAAGAAGTTTTTTCTTCTGTCCAGTCTAAAATGGTCTTCCTGGAGTTTGTGACCGTTAGACCTTGGGGTGCCCCGGTGAATAGACGTTCTCCCAGGTCCTGGTGCACACCCCTAATATATTTATAGGCTGGTACCTAAATTAATATAACCAACTTAGATTTGTTATTCCAGGACTCATAAATGAAGTGGGGTTATTCATAACTGGGGGGTCCAAAAGCTCCTAATTCAGTAAGATTAAGCATCAGTGTTGTTGTAATACCTCTCCGCCATTATGAGGAGGTTGTCTCATCAGAGCAACATAGGCCATTTCTGAATTACAACATCTGAGATGATCCGAGGTTGGAATGAATCTAGGGTGTCAGTAGGGGTTAGATGTAATGGCTGTGCCATCAGCTTCTTAGAATTTGTTAGTTAATTGGCATTATTTGTGCTGAATTTTGAACATAGGGTTATTAAGAACACAGATATCATTTTACCACTTTGAAAAAATTTTGAAAGCTTTCAGTATTACCTGGCATGTTGAATTGGATAAAGCTATGATTCTCAGTGTGCCCTTGGTTGAGATCCTTTATGGGTGCTGCACAATATTAGCACTGTTAGGTGTGCAAACACCTACATGATTCACAAAATAACCCCAGAGATTTCAAATAGGAATCAGTAGCGTTAAAACCATTTTGATCTGTTGTGGTCTTTTTGAGTTCTTTGTAGCAAACTACTTGCTCTGTTATTTTTTTCTGTATTCAAGAGATGAGTTAAAGCTAAGAGCGGGTATATTTCAATGTGTGCCATTAATCTAACATAGTCTTGAGTTAAAAATAGTTGAGAACCACTGGCATAAAGAGGAGAAAACAAAAGGAACCCCACCCCAACACATGATTTCTCTGGAGAGGTTCTGAAATTATCATAGATTCCCTGGCTATCTGCTAAACTGAAGCTTAGAAGCTAAACCATAGTTCCATCTGATCTTCTTTAATTCATGTTTACTTATTGTGCTAGCATACTTCAGTTAACATCTTGGTACTGGAACTGTCTCTCTCTCACTGCCAACAATAGGTGTGCATTGGGAGAATCTTTACAAGGTTAAGTATAGGCATTTACTAAAAGCTAACTCTGTCTTTAATTAGCCAGTTTTCTACCTCATAATTGAATGCAGAAGTCATGAGAAACATGTTATTGTGTATTTGTTTGGCTGGTATTTTGCTGACATGCTAATGGTTAATACCATGATTTATACTGATTAGTTTTAATTACAGTTTACATACTAATAAAGATAACCACTAACACATTAACCTTTTGGTTTACCTTTTATTATACTACCACAGCACTTAGGAACTCCAGTCATAAATTGGATAATATTATTATTTACCATAGCACTTGGGAATCCCAGGCCCCATTATGCTAAGAACTGTACAAATATAGCACAAAAAACAAGGTCTCTACACCAATATCACAATCTTCTGGCCTATCAGAAAGTAATTTATGTGAAGAAATGGTTGTTGACTGTTGATGACTTCATGTTGAATGATGACTATTATTAGAATTTTCATATGATCTCTCACTCTACAAGCCTTTCACGGATTTTACAAAGATTTTACGCTTGTATAGCCCTATTGGCTTCACTGGAACTGACCATTATTTGCAGGCAAGAGGAGAACAAGGACCACTGAATCATCAGATTTGAAAAAACAGCAATTTTTACCATGAAACATTGGTCTTTTGCTAATATGTAACCCAAATTCCTGAAATATTAACCAAAAATATATTTACATCATGACAATAAATGCACTAAAAACATTTGTTAGGACTTATGCTTCTAAGTTACTTGGTTTTAGAATTTAAGTCATGATATTGAACATAATAAGCAAATTACATGGTGTCAACTTAAAAATGAACTAAGAAACAAAGTTCATCCAAGACTTTAAGCATCTTAACACTAGAGAGTAGAGAAAGTTTCTTTTAAAAGCAAGTTGCTTAATGGTGCCAAAACCATGCGCCGAGAAGACAGAGTCTAAAATAAATATTGCCATAGGCATGAATGCTTCAAGGGAAGGAGTCTCTTTCTACTACAGAACCTCTTCTTTGCTAGCAGCCGTTTCTTGGCTCTGATTCCTGCT